TATTATTATTATTATTTTGCCATGGGGTACATGCACTCACCAGAGAGGAGAGCGACACAGAGACAGTGATAAGGAAATTGAGAAATCACCTCTCAGAGGTGAGGGTCAGCCACAATCCCTTCTCCTGTATTCTCCTCCTGGGATTTTGGGCATGCACGCACAAGCTGCCCATGTGAGTTTCATACTACCAGGTCTGGAACTGGAATCGTGGCCAGTCATGTGGGAGTCTAGAGCCTTTAACCAGTATGCCACCCACTGGCCCCTTATCTTGCCATTTCAAAGGTGGGTCAGAGACATGTAGAACTACTATTGTATGTATGAGCATGCATGTAAGACCATTTCAGTATTGTTTCTTTTACATTCTTGACAGCATAAATTTCATCCATTCACTCCAGAAATACATGTAGCATCTACTATGTGCCACATACCGAGTATACAGTGGTGAACAAAGTATACCATATCCTGCCATTGTGGACACTATATCTTAATGGGGGAGATCACCAATACAGCCAGAAAATTCTGCTCCCAGGTGGTTTATATTTGTACTTTGGGCCTATTCTTCATAACACTCCATCAGTGCCTCTACTATCTCCATCGCTCCTCTTTTTCATTTTTTCCCCTTCTCTCTCTTGTGGGTTTGGGGAGAGAGAAGAAAGAGAGTCATTTCAATTCCTCTTCCTCTACACTTCAAGCTCGGCATGAAGTTTTGAATTTGCTACAGTCAGGTTTAGTACTGGTATAGCATGAGAGTGAAGATGTCAGTCTTTTTTGTCAACAAGGCACCAGTGGGCTGGCTCAGCTGTCAGCCTGCTTGTGAGATGACAATGAGGTACTGGATGTGAGAGTTGTACTATTACCTTATAATTTATCTGCTCTTTTTTTTTTTATCTATGATTTTAGTTGTGCTGAACCCCATCGTACCTGGCTGCTTTGACAGGTGTGCTATTTTAGCAACATGGAACAAAACAGAGAAAGAAAAGATGAATGCTTGGTACGCTCATGCTGTCAGATCCAGGGTTCTCTGTTCCTAAGTTTGTGGACAATTCATTCAGGGCTGTTCAGAGATGAATAAAGGTTAGGTTTTGTTTTTTACCTATGTGAGACAGAATGTTCTCATGGGTCGCTTTACAGGTGGCTCTTACCCATGTAGACTGATCTAACGGATTCTTTTTCCCTATTTTCTCCTCTCATATTTGAAATCTCACCATGGCGATTCATTTCTCTGGGCTAACCACTTGCCTGCTCAAAATGCAGAGTCCAGGGCAGACTAACTTTTCAAGTCCTTAACATTGGAGCATGCATTCACATATCAGATTAATTTTCTCTTTGACCCAAATCATGAAAAGGGGTGAGAGGTGAAATTAGTCAAAAACATATGAAGTAGAAAGATAATGAAATAATCTTGGTTCGATTTCTCAAAGCTATCTCCATATGTCATCTTGAAAGCTGTTTCTTGAGAGAATAATTTTATTGTCATATAATTGTACATATTTATGGAGTATAATGTGATTTTTTTCCAGTATAAGAGTACGATGTTTAATGACCAAATCAGGATATTAGTATGCCAATCATATCAATCATTGGAAGCATTCAAAATCCTTTTTTTTTTTTTTGAGAGGTTTTTGCTATAGGGTGTGTGCGCTCTCCAGAAAGAAAGAGAGACAGAAAGACAGAAAGCGAGAAATCACCCCCACAGGGGAGATGGTCACACTGCAATCCCTTCTCCTCCATTCTACTCTTGGGATTTTGGGCACCCACGCACACGCGCCCGGCATGAGTTTAAGCCACCAGGTCCAGGACTCAAACTGCAGTCGGTTTAGCAACATAGTCATTACACCAACTGCTGGTCCCAAAAATCCTTTGTTTTAAGTACTCTGAAATATATAATAAATTGTTTTTTAACTACAGTTCCTTGGTTGTACTTTTTTTGTTTTGTTTTGTTTTTGGAGCAGTTTTTGCTATAGGACACGTGTGCTCACCAGAAAGACAGAGAGAGACAGAGAGACAGAAAGTGAGAAGTCACCCCCCAGGGGGGATGACCACACTGCCATCTCATCTCCTCTCAGGATCTTGGGTATGCACACACATGTGCCTTGTGTGAGTTTAAGCCATCGGGTCCAGGACTTGAACTGCAGTCGACTACATGGGAGTCCAATGACATAGCCATTATGCCATCTTCTGGTCCTGGCCCTGATTGTACTTTATATACCAGAATTTGTTCCTCTTATCTATCTATAAGTTCGTGTCTGTTAATTAACATCTATGTCTTTCTCCTTCCTACCTTGCCCAGTCGCTAGTAGTTACTTTTCTTCTATTTTTTGAGTCTTTTAAATTTATTATTATTATTTATACATTCAATCACTATACATCATTTAGATTGTAAAAGGACTTTACTCAGCATGACATACACCTCAGAGCAGCCCAGTTGAGAACACTATGTTATCATCAACAGGTAATAAACCATATCTGTGTCCCACAAATGTCATACCTTTCTATTTTTTTCCTCAAATTTCCTTTCCTACACTCTTCCCCTCTCCCACTCTCCTTCCATTTTTTTTAAGTTTCCACATGTGAGTGACAACATTTCTCTTTCTATGCCTGGCTTATGTCACTTAACATAATGTTCTCCAGGCTCACCCATGTTATGTCAAATTCCATTCTTTGGTTTGTTTGTTTGTTTTTATAGGGCATCTGTGCTCACCAGAGAGAGACAGAGAAACAGAGTGAGAAAAAGTGAGAAATCATCTCCCTGGGAGGATGCCCATGCCATAGTCCCTACTTCTTCATTCTTCTCTTGGGATTTTGGGCATACACACCTATGCACTCCGTGTGATTTCCAAGCCACCTAGTCTGGGACTTAACTATGTTTGACCATGTGGGAGTCCGGCACCTTAACCACCATATCACCTGCTGGCCCCAGGGTTTCATTCTTTTTAATGACTGAATAACATTACGTTTTTGTGTGTGTCTTTGTGTGTGTGTGTGTGTGTGTATCTGTGTGTGAGAGTGTGTATACACATGCATTTTCTTTATCCATTAGGTTGGGTCCATATTTGGTTATTGTGAATAGTGCTGCAATAAACATTGGTGTGCAGATATCTTTGAAATATACTAATTTCCTTTCCTTTCCTCGTAGTGGGACTGCTGGGTCATAGAGTATGTATGTATGTATGGATATTTTAGGAACCTTGATATTGTTTTTCATAATGGTTGACATGCCCATCAATAATGTAAGAGTTCCCTTTTCTCTGCACTCTATCAACGTTTATCAATTTTTAGTTAATGAATGTTGTTTAATTTTTTTTCAATTCCTAATGTTGAAAATGACTATAGAAAGATGATAGTTACATTTTAGCTGTTAAAGCTGGGCACTCTTCTGTCAAGAGGGAGTTACTACTAGCTACCACTGAAATTTTAGAGGATTATTCCAAACCCAAGTCAGTGAAAAGGAAACATCTGCCTTTGGTGCAAGGTAGCGGCATGCATTGGTAGGACATGCGAGGATTTAAATATCGTTCTTATTGAACTCCCAATCTTGCTATATTCTTAAAGAACTAAGCACTGAAGTTGTGCAAGGGCTATGAGGGGACTTCCAAACGTTCATGAAAAAATTACATCAAAGTGTAAGTTTATTTTGGTGCAGAAATATTGAAATCCATGCATGATTTTTCATGATACCCCTTTTCTGTGACCTTTTCAAAGATGCTTTATACAACAGACAATATATCTTCAACTATTTGAATTCCAATTTTAAAAGCATTTTGCATAATCTAAGGCACATGCATATAACCATTCAGATTCAGGCATTAAATAGTCTTATTCTGGTAAAAATGGAGGAAATTTTTGGGAAATATTACTCAGCACATTTTTTTTTTTGAGAGGTTTTTGCTATAGGGCATGTGCGCTCACCAGACAGACAGAGAGAGACAGAGAGACAGAAAGCGAGAAATCACCCCCCAGGGGGGATGGCCATGCTGTAATCCCTTCTCCTCCGATCTCCTCTCGGGATCTTGGGCACGCACACACACGCGCCTGGCGTGAGTTTAAGCGACCGGGTCCAGGACGAGAACAGTGGTCGACTACATGGGAATCCAGCGACATAGCCATTACGCTAACTGCTGGTCCCACTGAGCACATTTTTAAATGGACACAATGCTTTATTTCAGAGAAGGAGAGTTAAGGCTGTGAGGTTAAAAAAAAATAATGGTAGTTCAGCATCAATTGAATAAAAAAAACTTCTGTAGAAACAACAGGGACTAAAAGTTTCAATGCAACTATAAACACTTGCAGAAATTATTTAAAAGAGATTTTATGGCTGACATGCTGAAAGGTGGGCTGTCTACACCAAGGGACACATACAAATCTATATGACAGGGCACCACCAGTTAAATGATTCATTCTCTCATCTGAGGCCCATCAAATAGATAAATATGGGACAGCTGTGGATGTGTACTGTGATTTTTATGCCTCCACCAGCACTTTGGAATCTTGGACAAGGCATTAGGAAAAATCATTATTTGCTCAGGACCAAGATTGCTGAAGATGACTACATGAAGTAAGAGGGAGAGGGATAGGAAGAACTTGCCTAAAGCCCATTGTTCACCTACCAACTCTGATTCTGTAGGAACCTTGTGGTCAATGTTCAGTAGGAATTGCACACTGAGAGTATATGGAAACAAACAGTTTCCATGTTTGGGTCTCAGAGCTTTTGGTCTTTTCATTCTGTCAGTCTGTTTCTACTCCACATGATGGCGGGTCCAACTCGCCTCAATCATCAACCCCTTTAGGGACTAGGTAAGCCAAATCATCCCTTGTGGCCCCTGGGAAAACTGCCAGAATAGAAGCATTATCAAACTTCTCTGTCTGTGTGCAAGGGTTTTCATTGTCCCTAGAATCCAGATCTTACAAGATCCTTCTTCCAATGTCCCTCCTCTTCCTCTGCGAGTCCTCTTTTAAGGGGCGGGAGATAAAACCCTGTGGCAGGTTTGATTGAACCAAGCTGCAAAATCGCTGAGTTGGTTTTAGTTGAAGTGTGGGAAGGAGGTTTTAACGCAGGTAGACAACATCCTGTTGTTTGGGCGCTTCTGTCTGTTTTGCACATCTGGCTGAACCGGGAGTCAGGTGGCTGGCTTGGGTCTGGCTGTGCCTTTTCAGATCTCCTGCCTCTGCCTGCCCAAAAGTCCACCAGGCCATGGACGCGGTGGCTGTGTATCATGGCAAAATCAGCAGGGAGACCGGGGAGAAGCTTCTGCTCGCCACGGGGCTGGATGGCAGCTATTTGCTGAGAGACAGTGAGAGCGTCCCGGGAGTGTACTGCCTGTGTGTACTGTGAGTATGTAGCGGTGATGGCAGAAACCCAGATCCACGTCTGGCTTGGGCCTACCGAGGGTACGGGTGGTGGCTGCGGGCAGCCAGGGCAGTCACTGATGGCTGGAGTTTACTGAGGGCTCTTTCATGGCTCACCCCAAGGCTTCCCCAGGTCCAGCTCAGGGCTGTGATGGACTGCACTGTGGCCTAGGTCCCCTAGCTGGAGATTTCATTCTTTGCCCTTCCTGCTAATCACAAAGGCCTCCGCTGGCCTTTTTGGGCAGCTGCAGAAAATGCTTTGCAGGGTGGGAAAATGTGGCTTAGAATTTACCCTCACTCCCAGAAAGACCCAGGTTCCTAGTAGAGGCCGGGAAGGCAGAGCCCTGGTATATGGACTGGCCAGGTTTGGGGCCACCAGATCCTGAGAGAAGTAAATGTATTTCTCCAGCTCTCTGTAAACTGATTTAACAGATTTAGAAAGTGTTATCACAAAGAAGGAGCATGCATTTCAGGCAGAGGAGGCAGACTGAGAAGTAGAGTCCGTTACTGTAAGAATGTAATGCCAGTTGGGTCCAGTTGCTGAAGGGGAAGGTATGTGAGTAAAACAACCCTTCAAGAGCTGCTTATTTAGCTTCTTTTAGAGGAGTTGTATTTTGGGGGAGAGTGGCAGGAAGTTTCAGAAATGGAACCCTTCTTGATGAAAGCTAGGACTGACAGCTGTAGAAGACATGGAGGAAAAACAACCTTGCTATGATTCAGCTTTGCCTTCTGCCTAGGCATTTCTGAGTCTAACGCCCCGTTTTGAATCAGATGCACCTGCATCTTTGCTCCAGGGCTCCGTAGTTAGGCAGATCTGAGACCTTCTCCCATGCTAGTCAGATGCTCGGCTTGTGACCTTGGCAAATTAATTTCTCAGTCCCTCAGTTTTGTCATTCATTAAATGGGTATTATGACTTACCTCACAGGGTAGCAAAGATTAAATACCATAATGCACATAAAAAATTAGCACTGGACCAGACAGACGGCAAATTTTCAGTAAATGAAAACTACTGGTATTATATTTTTAATCAGTTGATTTCTTTGTAGTACTCATGAGGGGAGTTCTAAGGAAAGACCTACGTCAGCAGGATGAAAACACCCATGAAAACAGGGACCCTAGACAGAAACAAAAATAAGGGGAAATGCTTGGTAGAGTAAGTTCATACCTGATGATACACTACGAGAGTTTGAAATACCTTCTGGGTCAGTGAAGAAAGATTATACTGAGGCTTGTGTTAGAGAATTTTCATTGCGTGTTGGTTTTTAAAAATGGTCAAGCCTTGTTCGTGGCAGTTCTCATGTCATGCTAAAGTATATTTATCATAATGACTTTAAGGAAAATATGTGGAAATATTGAATCTTTTGAGGTCAGATCTTTTTTTTTTTACTTTTAATGCATTTTTTTTAATTTCAAGAAAAACAATTTTCATGTTTTTTTCCTGAAATATTTTTTAATTAATTAATTTACATTCATTCCCTAAACATCATCACAACTTACAAAATGTGGTTTCCCATCCAGAATATACTGCATAGTTGCTTAACCATGCGTGTTATCATCAATAATTTTCCATTTCTAGTTTCATATATATTATATATATATATATATATTTAACCCCTATTTCTGACCCTCTGCCCTTTCCCACCCTCTTCTCACCCT